CCCGCTACTGATGCGCTCGCAATGTCGGTCGTGTTTCGTGTTGGGTCCGACCAGGTCGTGTCCCGTGTGCTTGCCGTAACCGGGCTCGATCTCATCCGGCTCTGTGCTGCTGTGCGCCGCGTACCCGCAAGCGGGGTTGCGGCACGGCTGCTTCAGGGCTGGTGCCGCGCTCCCTTCCTAGGAGCCCAGCATACCTCCCCTACGGACCTGGGCATGGACCCCATGCGGCCACAGACGCAGTTCCGCCCTCCTCCTCTCGTCCTCTGGCCGGCAGGAGATCCCCACGCTCCTCAGCTTGCTTCTTCCATCTGCGTGAATTGGGTCTGTCTGCATGAGGGCCGCCGCCAGCGCCTGTGCTGTCGCCCTCGGAGGGGGGGTCCTCAGCGCCCCCCTAAGCGCGTCTGAGATGCCAATCGCCTCAACTTGATTACCCCACCAATCCTCAGTGCCACCTCGCAGCATCCAGACCTCCTCGGACAGCAGCCCTCACACCCTTGGTGGGGCCGCCCTTACTCTCCCAAACGGGGCGTGGGCGACGGCCCGCTTGGGAGAGGGTGCTAGTGGCCCACCACCCTCGGCAGAAGGTGAGGCGGGCATTCTGACCTATCACATTTCTTCATGGCGGCCCGCGGGTACACCGCCAGCTTCCCATCCTCCAGGGTGCACCACGCGCTCAGGGGGACCTTCTGCGCCTTCCACATCCCCGCTGCGAGCGGCACAGGTGGTGGTGGCACCTCAGCTCCTCGCCCCATCCACCCCGCGGCTGGTCGTCTGCCCCTCTGGGTCGCCAACTCCCACGTTCTCCGCTGTGCCACTGGGTCGCCCACCTCCGTGCAGGTCATGCTGTCCTCTTGGGCTTGCCAGCCTCATATCCTCAGAAACTCCATGGTCTCCGACACCCGCTTGCCCAGCGGCATGTCCAGCAGCACCCACGAGGCCCCCGCCCGTCTCAGGCACCGCCCGACTTCCTGTTGCCTGCGCACTCCTCCTGACGGGCCCAGTGAGGACACGCCCATCACTTGGCCGTCCGCCTGCAGGCTTGGCGCCAGGACCCCGCGCGGAACCCAACACTCGGCCGGGTAAGTGACGGCCATTGCGCTTAGAACCGACGCAGCTGCGGTGGAGGGCTTGAATGCGCCACCCAGCTCCACGATGCAACACCCACTACACTCCAGCTGTCTCGGAAAATCCGCACCGCGCCTCCTGGCCATAAGGTAAGTTGCATCGCGATCTGCCATTCCTCCGCAACCACTATCGCCACCGCATGGACTCGGCGCTCGCACCCTTGACCCAGCACGCTCCTCCACATTTCAGCGATCCCCACCTTCCGCAAGCCCTCCCGCTCCATCCTGGCCTCGCCCTCCTCCTCCGTGGCGTGCGTCATCATGTCCGCCACCTCATTGCTGTACGCGCGGATGTACGACGCGGCCAAGATCGTGAAATACCATTTGGCCTCCATGCAATTCAGGAGTCGGGTGAGGTGTCGGCCCAGTCGGTTGCAGGCGTTCCGCTTCTCCACCCAGCTCTGAATCGTCTTGTTGTCGTCCACATCGATGACATTTGATGACCAAGCGCTCCTTCCATTCCTTGCCCCTTTCCGCCGCGAAGCCCACTACGCAGAACAGCTCGGTCAGCGAAATGATGACACGTTCGTCCTCGGCATCGGCCACCTCCTGGAGCGCCTTCAGATGCGGTGCCACCTCCTGACGCGAGTACAGCTGGGCATCCCAGTCGATCTGGCCCGCGATGGTCAGCGTCGCGTCGCTTCCGATCCAGACTACCCGCTCCGTGGCGCCTGGAGCGGGCAACCTTTCCTGGGGCTCCAGCATGCTCGCGAACGGCGAGAGGAACGTACTCCCCCAAGCCTCCAGGCGGGCAGTCATGACCCTGAGGACGTCCAGCGTGTTCTAGAGGTCCTGCCAGGCGACCTCTTGCACCTGCTCCGTACCCTTCGGCTTGGCACACTCGCTCGGCCCGTCGGGCAACAAGGGATCGGCGGACCCCATCTCCTTGCCCCAGCCCGAGTTGGTCGCCACGAAGTTGGTCCCCAATCCTCTCAGCTGCTGCACCGTCCGTAGCCTCACCCGGCAACACCCTGGTGCCAACCCCTCTTTCTGCAACAGGTAACCCATCTTCTGGATCTTCGACTCCAGGAGCGCGACCCTGTCCACGAACCTCCCCTTTTCATCTCCGAGCTGGAATAACAAGCCCCATGTCAGCTTCTCCGTCGTGAACTCGCCCTCCTCTGCTAGCTTACCCAGGTTGATCGATACCTCTCCCAGGATCTGGTTTCTCATTGCGTCGAAAGTCCAGGTAGACAGGGTCTCACGCCCAGCACCGGCTCCAGCAGCACCCCGTCGTCGACCAGGACCTCGTAGGCGTGCGGCACCACGTCATGGATCGCGCCCTGCGGGAAGCGATGGGCCTGGTGCGCATCCTACGCACCTCGGCCCAGCGCTGCCCACTCCTCTGGCGCCCCCGTCCACCCGAAGACCATGGTGAGGTGCATCACCGTCACGCTCTCGCCTGTACCCTCTGCCAGCAGGGGCACCGCCATGATCCAAAGACCCGACGTCTCGACCCAGAGAAGCTTGATCGCCGAGGCGGAGTCCCGTTGAACCAGCAGCACTCGGACCTGCGGGCATCGGTACCTCCACCACAGCACCTGCCTCGCAACCTCCTGATGCCCAGGCAGGCTCGCGGGGGGATGCTGCGTTTTGTCGCATCCCTGGTTAGGCTCCTGCATGTCATTGATGAGTTGCCCGTCTGGCGCAACACTGCGGTCTGGCAACATCTTGGGCACCCTCCGCTGGGGCGCTGAACGGCGCGCTGTGGCCTTCAACCTGACGGGCTCTCCTCCGCGCCGTACCAGCACTCCTCGGCTCGCAACTCCTCACAGGTACCCTAGCAACTCCAGCCCGATCATCGCGTCGAACTTTGCGTGGTGGGTCCCCCCCAAGTGGTCCCCGCGCCGTTCCTTCCACGCTCGCCGCAGGGCCTCTGAGGCCTCCTGCCACCCTCCGGCAGTATCCAGGAGGGCGTCTCCCAGCTCGACCACCCTCCCGAAGCTCGCCACCCCGTGGTCCGGCGATGCCTTCGCCTTCGCCCAGAGCTTCTTCGCGGCCTTCGTCAGCGCCTCTCCTCAATCCTCGCCTCCGCCTTTGTCCCTGGCACCTCCGGCCCTCCCACGCGATTCGGATGGGCCTGCAGCTTCGGACGGGCTGCTGGAGGGAGTGGCCTTGACCAGGGGCGCGGGCTTCGGAGGTGGGCGGATGGAGGGCGGCTGGGTGTAGGGCGGATGCACGGTGGGCCCAGGACGTCCGGGCCGCCCTCCTGGGGGGGCCGCTCACAGCTGTGGCCCTTCGCCTGGGCCGCCGCCTCGCGCTGCTCTCCTGCGCTTGTCTCGTCCTCTGAGGGCCAACTTGGAGCCATTTGGACGGGGCAACTGCGGCCTGATTCGGGGGCCTCTTGGGCCCTCTTGGGAGCACCTCGGGGGCCTGTGGGGGGGATCTTGGGGCCATCTTGGGGCGGAGGGCTCAAAATGCCAGTTCGTGTTCCCCATCTTGGGCCCCTCTTGGGCCTCTCTTGGGTGCTCTTGGGCCGCTTGGGGGCGATCTTGGGCTTGGGCCGTCTTGGACGCTCTGAAAAGGTGGTAATGCAAACGATTTGGGCCTTCTTGGCCGCCCTCCAGGGCCTCCAGGACGGTCCCCGGGGTCATCTCAAAACATGTTGGACGTGCATGTCCCGAACAAAACGATGCTGGCCTCTTGAAAACTCACGCGCACCCCCCCTCTGGAAGTCGCGGGAGCGCCCAGGAGCGCCCAGAAGTCCTGGCTGTGGGCCGCTTCAAGAACATCTACAGGACCCAATCCGGAGAACTCGAGGGTACATTAGGACACTCCACCTCGTGCCTCAGAGCACGGTGGCGGATACATCATGGAAGCATCGGCCCTTGCTTCTGCGGCTTATTATGCTGGAGGCGATCCAGGCGCTGCCACGATGTTGGTGCAGCGCGGGTCGAATGGCATGCCTTGGATGTTTGATCCAAGGCTGCCAGCACCACGAAGATGCACGGGCCTCCCGCAACTACTGCTGGATTGTGACCTCACAGCATTCGGCATGTTCTGCCCGTCAGCCTGCCACTTGGAGCAAAGCGAATATCCATGGCGTCGGCTATATGCCTTCTCCCCGGGCCATAGGCTAGCGTTGGGAAACGCGCGCCCGCCTCCACCAGTGCACTGCTTCTTTCTTCCGAGCGCAACTGAGGTGGTTTGACGTTGAGAGGGGGCTTGTCGGGAACGCGCTCTTGTGTGTGAGGTGTGTGGCGGGCTGGGCTCGTAGCATTCATTCTCGGGCTGAGGGAGAGCTGCTAAGGCTTTGGACGGGGAGGCATCATCTCAGCAGGCTGGCCCAGGGGCTCCCCGTCAGACAATCACGAAGCGCTGCCCCCACGGAGCCCGCTGGCCAAGCCTGAACCCACTAACCCGGATGCTCTGCGCCTCGCTCTACGACATTTGTCCTCCCAGCGCCTCTCAGCACGCCTCCTTGGCATTGCCTCCGCAGCGCTCGCGTTTCAGTCTGGCCAGAACTGTGTTGGCCCCGTCGAGGCCATGGAACCGCCTTGCCGCCGGGAGACCCACCACAGGCCAGGCCCAGACCAGGGAGGAGGAGGAGGAGGAGGAGGAGGAGGAGGAGGAGGAGGAGGAGGAGGAGGAGGAGGAGGGGAGGAGGAGGAGGAGGAGGAGGAGGAGGAGAAGAAGAGGGAGGTGGAGGTGTAGGCTGGACAGGCGGCTTCGTCCCCCCTTCGGACTGGGTCCCCCCGACTGCCCGCCCTCTGGTGCGCCAGTAGGCGTGCGGGGTGGCCGGGCGGACGTGGGGACGCGCCGAGACGCGCTGGGGCGGAGGAGGAGAGGAGGAGGGAGGAGGAGGGAGGAGGAGGAGGAGGAGGAGGAGGAGGAGGAGAGATGTCCCTCCCCCCTGGGGGGCGAGCCCTGTGAGAGGACACCTCCGGCAGCGGAGCGGACGCGCGCCACAGCGAGAGCTTCCGCAGCATCGTGGAGCAGACCGTAAAAGACTCTGCGCCGATCCACCTGTGCGAGCCTGGCGCTGGGGCCACGCCGTTCGAGTCGGAGGCTCGTCGGAGTCGGAAAGATTCTGATACCGCTTCTCGTCTGGGAGAGCCCTCGCCACCACGAATGTATTCTTCTCTGGTCAGGAAACGGCCGGGGAGAGATTCGGGGAGTGGCCGCATCAGTACCTTTTTGTTCCCCTCGTGAATCTCAGCAGGTCGTGAAAGTCTCTTCGCCAATCCATCATGTGCGAGTCTGGCTTTGGAGTCACGCCATTCGAGTGCCTGGCTAGACGGATTCCAGGGGGGAGGCTGTCGGTCTTCGTGGCTATCGTGCCATGTGCGTAGATGGCGGCGCTGTCAGGCATGGGCCGGACTCTGGTCCTTCTCTACGGCAATGGCGCGAGAGCGCGAAGAAGGTCTCGGTTGGCGCAGCCCGAAGCGCGAGGTTTGGTGACCTGGGTAGTCTATCGGTCTTCTCTTCCGTCGCCACGGCCCACATCTTCGTTGCGACGCTCCGCATCCAGCGCCATCATCGACTACTGAAACCCTCAGGACGGAGCGACCCTCAATCTTGTTCGGGTCTTGCCGAGTTCTCACAGGGGCAGCCTGTGTGTCCACTGTTCGGGGCCGTCATCGTTCCACTTATTTAATCGCTTCGCTCATTCCGCTGGCCAGTATTGCCTCGCCGCTTGGGGGCCGTGTTGGATCCTCTTAGGGGGCATCTGGGAGGCAGTCTTGCGGCCTCTTGGGGGCCGTGTTGGGGCCTCTTGGGGCCTCTCGGGTGCCTCTTAGGACTTCTTGGGGTGCCATCGTTCCACTTATTCCCTGGCAGTCGCCCGACACCGATGCTGGTTCCTCCCCAAAGAAGACTGGGAGCATGTGGGCACGCAACCCCCTTGGCCCGATCCTGGTGCGTCTTCCCCTGCCGTGCCTACCGTGCGTGCCAAGATTTCCAACGGCTCGACTTCTTCGAGTCGTCGGGCCTCAGATCTCTCTCGTTCCCGGGCCCGCGACAGGTGTTTGGTCGGGGGTGCTTTTGCTGGCGGCCCTGGGGCCCGAGACGGGCTTCGGAGGCCGAGGCGTTGGGAAAACGGGCCGCCGTCCTGATTTGATCCTGGGCACGGGAGGTCTGGGCTCCCGGGCTTCAGGGTCGACCCCCCAGGCTTGGCAGGAGGCGCGCTCTCGCTTCCATTTCGGGGCGGGTCCATCCGTGGCGGCAAGGCCGCCTGGCAGAGGCCCAACAAGCCCCAAGAGCGTCCGACAATCTCGGTCCTGGTTCGCCTGGGGCTTGGGGCTTGTTCCGCTCGGGAAGTACACGGTGAAGCAGCACAGTTGATGGTTAATATCAGATTGAGGGGGCCGAACCGTCATTCAGTGTCCATGGGTGCGTGGCTAAAGTGTGATTCCGTGGTGCTGATTGTTGTAATTGTTGTTGGTTGTGGTGGTGATGTTGGTGTGGTGTTGTTGTTGATGATGGTGATGTTGGCGTTGGCGTTGGTGTTGTTGTTGCTGCTGCTGATGGTGTTGGTGTTGATGTTGGTGCTGTTGTTGTTCCTGTTGTGGTTGATGTTGTTGTTGTTGCTGTTGCTGGCGTTGCTGTTGAACTCTCACTACTGATGAATCAGTATTATTGATCCCTCCCCTCAGGTGACCACTGTGTTGTTTCAATTGAAGTGCTTCCCCTAGGGCTCGCACTTTGTTTTTTTATTAGGGGAAGTTACTGGGTTCAAACTGGGCCCCTGGCCCCCAAACTACAACAACAGCGGCTCTCGCCAGATACTTCCTCACAATTCATTCCCAAATCGAGCTCTCGCGCGGGACTTCCTCACAATTTGTATACGGATCGCGCCCTCGCGTGGGACCTCCTCGCAATGTATTCAGACGATGCGCCCTCGGCGCTCAGGAATCACGCTCTCACTGTGGCTTTTCTTACGATTTGTCAATCGCGCTATCGTTCGAAACTTCCTCGCGATTCATGCAGGACCCACGCTTCAGCAACCTGCCCGCTCGACCTGGACGCCTGGGCCCGCCGTCCCGACCTGCCCGCTATGGGTCTGCCCACCCGATCTGCCCGTCTGGTTCTACCACTTGTTGTCTGCGCCTTGCCCCCCTCTTGGTAATTTCTCTCGTGCTCCACTCTTCTCCCTCCCCCATTCCACCCGTCTTCTCTTCTCTTGTTTCAGGGGCTGCGCTAAATACACGTGGCGGGTAAGGAAGATGTACCCCCAACGGGGTACGATCGACGACGACGAGGGCGGGTACTGAGGGCTTGGGATATACGTAATGGTTGGCACGTGAGCAGATAGGAGCGAACAGTCTTAACATGATTTTTGTTGTTGTTGCTGAACTCTCATTACTGAAGAAAAGTATGGTTGATTCCCTTCAGGTGACCTTTGTGTTGTTTCAATTGAAGTGCTTCCCCTGGGGCTCGCACCCTGTTTGTTTTTATCAGGGAAGGTCACTAGGGTCAACTTGCGTTGTTGGCCCCTGGATTGCAACAACCACGACTCCCGCCTGAGGTGTCCCCACATTTTGGCCAGGACCCCCGCTCCCGCCTGAGACTTCCTCGCGCTTTTCTCTGGAATCGCGCTCTCGGTAGGGACTTCCTTACACTGTATTCAGAAATCGCTCTCCCGGCGTTGTGGAGTCGCGCTCTCGCTGGAGATCTGTTCGCTATTTAATCAAGACTCGCGCTCTTGCGTTGGAATCCCCCGCAATTTGCCCAAGCGCCGCGTTCACGACACTCAGGCACCCAGGAGTCGCGCTCACGCTTAGGACTCCCTCACAGCTTACTTCGGAATCGGGATCTCGCTGCCCTTCGTGGCCCCGTTGCAGCCCTTCGTGGCCCCCTCGCTGACCTTCGTGGCCCCGTTGAGCCCTTCGTGACCCCTCTCGCTGCCCTTCGTGGTCCCGTTGCAGCCCTTCGTGGCCCCCTCGCAGCCCTTCGTGGCCCTGTTGCAGCCCTTCGTGGCCCCCTCGCTTCCCTTCATGGCTCCGCTGTCGCCCTTCGTGGCCCCCTCGCTGCAGTTCGTGGCCCAATTGCAGTATGCCGTTCGTGGCCACCGCTCGTTCGCTCCCGTCGTGGCCCCATATGCATGCGCTTCGTGGCCCCACTGTCGCCTCCCTTCGTGGCCCTCTCGCTGCCCTTCGTGGCCCCGTTGCTGCCCTCAGTGGCCCCGTCCTTGCCATCTGCGGCCCAATACACGTATACCCTTCGTGGCCCCGCTCGTTCACGCTCGTCGCGGCCTCACATGCATGTCCTTCGTGGCCCAGCTGTCGCCCTTTGTGGCCCCCTCGCTGCCCTACGTGGCCCCGTTGGTACCCTCAGTGGCCCCGTCGTTGCGCTCTGGGGCCCCGAATTATCTGCCCTTCGTGGCCCCCGCTCGTTCGCGCCCTTCGTGGACCCATATGCATGCCCGTCGTGGCCCCGCTGTCGCCCTTCGTGAGCCCATTCCTGCCCTTCGTGGCCCCGCTGTCGCTCTCGCTCTCGCTCTCGCTCTCGCTCGTCGTCGTCCCTGTCGCCGTCGCCGTCGCCGTCGTCGTCGTCGTCGTCGTCGTCGTCGCGGTCGGTCCCCTGTCCGTCCCTCTTGGGGTCGGGTTGCCGCCGGTCAGCGCTGCCGCTGGCCAGGCTGACGGTCCGCGGCCGCCCCGCCGCTTGCTGGGGCCCGGCCTGTAGGGAAGAAAGATATACCCCCCAAAGGGGTACGATCGAAGACGAAAAGGGCGGGAATCGAGGGTTGGGGAAAAACACGTTGAATGGCAATAGAGCAGATAAGAGCGAACAGTCTTAAACGGATTATTGTTGTAGTAGTTGTTGTTGTAGTTGTAGTTGTAGTTGTAGTTGTTGAACTCTCATTTCTGAAGAATAATTATTGTTGATCCCCCCTCACCGGTGCATACGGTTTTTCTCCATCAAAGTGTGCCCCTCGACGTTCGCACCCTGTTTTTCTACCGGGAAAGTCTTGATGCTCAAACTGTGCCCCTGGCCCCCGGGTTACAAGAACGGCTCCGCCTGAGACTTCCTCACGATTTAGCCAGGACCCCCGTTCCCGCCTGAGACTTCCTCGCTCAGGAATCGCGCTCTCGCCTAGGGCTTCCTGAGAATTTATGTCGGAATCGTTCTCTCGGTGCTCTGGAGTCGCGCTCTCGCTGGAAACTTGCTGGCAATTTACTTAAGAATAGCGCCCTTGCGTTGGAATGTCCCGCGATTTACTCAAACGCCGCGCTCCCAACACTCTGGCACCCAGGAGTCGCGCTCACGCTTAGGATTCCCTCACAGATTACTTAGGACTCGGGATGTCGCTCCCCTTCGTGTCCCTGTTGCAGTCCTTCGCGGCCCCTCGCTGCCCTTCGTGGCCCCTTGTACCCCTTCGTGGCCCCCTCGCTGCCCTACGTGGCCCCGTTGCAGCCCTTCGTAGCCCCTTCGCTGCCCTTCGTAAACCCGTTACAACCCTTCGTGGCCCCGTCGCTGCCCTCTGGCCCCCGCTCGTTCGCGCCCGTCGTGGCCCCATGTGCATGCCCTTCGTGGCTCCGCTGTCGCCCTTCGTGGCCCCCTCGCTGTCCTACGTGGCCCAGTAACTACCCGCAGTGGCCCCGTCGTTGCCTTCGGTGGCCCCGCATTTTCTGCTCTTCGTGGCCCCCGCTCGTTCGCGCACTTCGTGGCCCCATACGCATTCCCTTCGTGTCCCCGCTGTCGCCCTTCGCGGCCTACTTCGACCTTGGTGGCCCCGCTGTCGTTCTCTCTCTCGCTCTCGCTTTCGCTCGTCGTCGGCGTCGTCGTCGCCGCCGTCGTCGTCGTCGTCGTCGTTGTCGTCGTCGTCGACGTCGTCGTCGTCGACGTCGTCGTCGTCGTGGTCGGTCCCCTGTCCGTCCCTCTTGGGGTCGGGTTGCCGCCGATCAGCGCTGCCGCTGGCCAGGCCGACGGTCCGCGGCCGCTCCTCCTCTTGCCGGGGCCCAGCCTGCAGGGAAGAGAGGTTTATCCCCCAAAAGGGGTACGATCGAAGACGAGGAGGGCAGGTATCGAGGGTTTGGGAAATACGCGTGAACGGACACTCGAGCAGATAAGAGCGAACAGTCTGAAACTGATCGTTGTTGTTGTTGTTGTTGTTGTTGTTGTCGTCGTCCCTCCCGCGACCCACCCGCAACCCACCCGCGACACACCCCGCGACCCACCCCGCGACCCACCCCGCGACTCACCCGCGATTCACCCGTGACTCACCCGCGACCCACCCGCGACACGCTGGTGACCCACCCGCGACCCACCCACTTGCTTTCACGATTAGTTCGGCGCCTGCGGCGGGCTCGCTGCATCATTTGATTTGGAATCGTCGCTTGCGGCGGGCTTCGTCAGAGCCTCGCGGGCTGCCGACGACCCCGCCGCCCCCTCACTCTTATCCGCAACTGCGGGGTGCTACACACAACTTATTCTGCTTCGAGCGATCGACGCCGAATGGCTGCAGTGTGTCCGGGTGTTTGCATGTTGCTGATGTGCGCCTTTCGTGTATGTGGTGGATGCCGATTCCTGATTCGCCGAACAATCGTCAACCGCAGCATTAGATTACAGTAGGATCGAGTATAATGGAGCTGAGTGGTGTAGAACAGGTGAGTAGAGTCGAGCAGAGTAAGCCAGGGTAGAGTAAAGTAGAGCAGAGTAGAGCGGAGCGAGGCTGAAAAGAGTAGAGGAGAGGAGAGTAAGGTCGGAGCAGAAGAGAGTCGGAGTAGAGTACAATAGAGTAGACCATGTCAGATTGGGCCAGGGTGGGGTAGGATAAAACAGAGCAGGGTAAATCGAGAGTATATACTACTAGGCCAGAATGACGTTGAGGAGGAGTAGAGTAGAGTAGGAGTATGAGTATCGTAGTGTCGAACAGGTAAGGGTAGTGCAGGGTGGTTAGAGTGGAACAGGGGGTAGTGTACGTATCAGAGTAAATTTGCGTAAGGTGGATGCCGGAGTAGAGTCGGGCATAACAGGTACAGTAGAAACGAACAGAGTAGAGCAGAGATGAGCAGAGTAGAGAAGATGCTTTGAAAAGAGCAGAGCAGAACCGAGTAGAGTTGAGCAGAAACAAGTAGAACAGATGAGATGGGAGTAGTGCAGAGCAAGGCAGGGTAGGGAACGCGTAGAGTACATCCCCAGGACGAAATGTGTTCCCTCTTGGGCCCGGAACGACGGTGTGAAGTCTTGAGCAGACCCGTATGAGATAACCGCCGTCGGATCCCATGAAGTTCGCGCAGATCCAAATGTGGCTTTGGTGTTTGTTGCGGTGGATCCGATTTCCGTCCGTACGGATCCGATTTCGGATTAGCTGGATCCGCGTCCGGTCTTTCTTTTTACGGCGGATCCGATTTCTACCTTGTTTTAAATTTATATTCGTAGAGTAAAACAGGGGACCGGAAGAAATCAGATCCGCGGACCCCGCAAACCGCCCGTGTTAAGATTTTATGGGGGAGGGGGGTTCGGTAATCAATTTTCCACGATGGGCCCTGCGTCGTCTCGCGCACTCCCATCAACTCTCCGCGCGAGCGTGCCCCATTCAACATGAATACATACATCCCTCTCCACCCGGTTGCTGCAAACAGCTCGTCCAGTCGCCGTCCGTTCGGCGGCGCCGACGTTGTCTCGCGAACTCCTCATGGCCATATTGACCTCAAGAGGAAAATCTTTCGTCCTGCGTAAGTAGAGTAGGGAAGAGTAGAGTAGAGCAGAGTAGAGTAGAGCAGAGCAGAGTACATAATAATAGAGTACTTTAGAGTAGCGTAGAGTAGAGTAGAATCGAGTAAGAGTCCATTAGATACGGGTCAAATAGAGTGGAGTGGTGTAGTGTAGGGTAGGGTAAAGCAGAGTAATGTAGGGTAGAGTAGCGCAGAGTAGAGTAGAGTATATGGTAGAGCAGAGTCTGCATCATAAAACCGACTAGGGTAGGGTAGAGCGGGGTATAGTAGAGTTGACTACAATAGAGTAGAGTAGAGTACACTACTTAAATTAGAACCCGTCAGAGTTGAGCAGCATCGACTGGATTGGAGAGCGCCGAGAATATTACACTGGAGTACATTCCATCTGACTAGAACAGATCAGGCGAGCGGATAGGACAGTATATGAAGGCAGGGTGGGAATATAGTAGGAGTCGGGTAGGCGGGGTTCGGGTACGGTAGGGTAGAGTCGGGTCGGGCAGAGTGGTGCAGGGTAGAGTAGAATATGGTAGACTGTAGAGTGGAGTCGGGTGTCATGGAGTAGAGTAGGGAGGAACAGGGTAGAGAAAAGACGAGGGGAGGCGAGTAGAGAACAGCACGCTAGGTGTATATTAGAGCAGCGTAGGATTCAAGTCGAGTAGAGAAGGGTAGAGTCCGTCGGGTTAGAACCGGGTCGTGTAAGACGAGGTAACGCAGGGTAGGGTAGAGTAGGGAAGAGGAGAGTAGAGCAGCGCGAAATAGTGTAGAGTAGGGTAACTGATAGAGTAGAGTCGGGCAGGCTACGGTCGAGTAGAGTGGAGCAGAGTCCACCCCAGTCCAGTCTATTCTGCCCCTTTCCAGTCTAACCCATTCCACACTCCCTTCAATGCTAGGCGCTTCGCGTATCCCCACCAGCTGCGTAGCCCGCTCCTGTGTGCTCCTGTGCGGAATTAAGGCCGTTGCTTGCTAGCCGCGTTTCTGGACGGCGCTTGGCACCCCTGCGCGCTCGCGAACCAACAGGTATCCCCACCAGCCCGTGATTAGGGACGTGCGGGAGCAAAGGGGTGGACGGCCGAGCAGTGCGAAGGATGGAGGAGGACGATAAGGAGGAGGCTGGATGGATGGATGAAGGAGTGGGGTGGCAAAGGAAGATGACTAAGATGATGAGGAGGAGGAAGAGAAGGAGCAGGAGGAGGAAGGAGGAGCAGGAGGAGGAAGGCAAGCAAACGAGCCAGAGGTCTCTTGGGTGCCTCTCGGAGCTTCTTGCGATATCTCTTGGGCGCTTTTTGGAGGCCTCTTGGGACGTCTTGAGGGTCTCTCGGCGGTCCTGGGGGGCTCTTGGGCGTCTTGGGTGCATCGGGGGGGGCTCTTGGGGCCGCTTGGGGTCCTCTTGGGGGCCTCCTGGGGGCCTCTTTGGGCCATCTTGGAGCCATCTTGGGGCCATATTGGGGCCTCCTGGGCGCCTTTTGGGGCCATCTTGGAGGAGATCGGATCAATGAAATATGGGGGGAGCTTTATTACGCCTCCCCCCCCCCCTCTCGGGAGCCCCCAACATCATCTCTTGGGTCCCTCCGGGAGCGCTCTTGAGAGCTCTTCGGGCTGTTTTGGGGCTCTCTGGGGCTTCTCTTGGGGCCCTCATGGGCTCTCTTGGAGCTGTCTGGAGGCCTCGGAAAGCCATCGGAAGCGAAAAGGCGAGAAGGCACAACTCCTGGGGAGGCTCCGTGGCCGCTCGGAGCCGTCTTGAAGCGGGCTTGAGGTCTCTTGGAGCAGTTTGGGAGCCATCTTGACGCATCTTGGGAGATGTGGGGGAGATCTTGGAGTGCATCCTGGGTTCCTGGAGGCCCTCTTGGAGCCATCTTGGGCCATCTTGGACGATCCGACGACCCGCGAGTCGCCCCGTCCAGGTCCAGGGGAGGGGGCAAGGGGGAGTGCCCCCCCCGAAGGGGAAGAAGGAGGGCTGGAAGAGGAAACGCCCAAAACCACCTACGCCCAGAGGGCTGGTGGCATTTCTGTTTTGTCTTATGATAGATTTGCGGTCCATGTTGCCTGATATTTATGTATATGTTGGGCGTCTTGGCTTGATATTTGTTCTTGGCGTCTTGCTTGACTGCATGCTTTTGACGTTGGTGCCTGGTGCTTCCTATTCGTGGTGTCTGTTCGGGCGTCAAACAACTAGTCATGTATAGTCGCTGTTGGTTTACGTTCTCGGTGAAGGCCCGTCACGTATATCACCGAAGTATGTTATTGATGTCTGTGGTTGGTTCACGTGTGCATGTGGAGAGTATTTTCTGGGTGATGGCCCTGACGTCTACGACTGGTGTCTTGAATTGGCGCTTGCCCTGCGTTGCTCGTGCTCGTGTCTGGTAGTATCGCATGCCTTCCGTGTATGCGTTTGATGCGTGTTTGGGGCTTGGTTTTGACACCTTTTATTGCCAGACACTCTTGGTGGTGGTTATTGATGTCTGCAGGTGTTGCATGCTTTCTGGTGTATGGTCTTGATGCCTGGGGGCCTGCCGGCCACAGCCTGCAGGCCGGGCGAGGCGGGACCTGAGGCCTGGCGACCAGGAGATGCAGGCGGGCGTGGCGGGGCACCCAGCCGCTCGGAGTCGTGGGGCCTGGCGGCCGCGGCACGCAGGGCGGGCGAGGCGGTGCGGGGACCTTGCCCTTAGAATCTAGCCACGCCGGAACAGGAGACCGACCCCTGATCCTCAAGTTTGCCCCTCGCGTGGAGCCCCCCCCCCACACCCCGCGCGCGAGAAAGGTGATGCCTTTCGAGAGCCAGGGCGGCGAGACGCGGTACTTCTGCGTGCGGGGACTGGCCACCTGCGGGCCCGAGATGCCGTTCGGGGGCCGCATCAGCATCGCAGAGGGCTACGTGGTCGACATCACGCGCGCCGAGCTCGCTCTGCAGGAGGCGTCCAGGCGCGGCGGCAACTCCAAGCAACACAAGCGATGCTGCTTCGAGCGGTCTCTTTCACAGAGCTCAAATATCTCGATACGTTCGCTTTTGATGTACATCCTTCATGTATGTTCTTGATGTCGGGTCTTGATGTCGGGTCTTGATGCCTGGTCTTGGCTCTGACCTTCATCATTGTTTTGGGTGTCTGCTCTTGATGTGCGCTATTTGTGGTTTTGTAATGTCTGTTCTTGGCGCCCAGCCGTGATGTATCAAAGACCCCTGCAGAGCATAACCGCTGCCCCCTGACTGTTGGAAACGCCCACGCGGCCAAACGTTGGGCCGAATGTTGGCCAAGCTATTGGGCGATGTGCTCCCCCAGCCGTCGTGGAACCCCTTGGTGGGCACACTCAGGATATGAAGAGGAAAGAGGAGGAGAGGGAGGAGAGGGAGGAGAAGCAGGAGAGGGAGGATGAGGAGGAGGAGGAGGAAGAGGAGGAGGAGGAGGAGGAGGAGGAGGAGGAGCAGGAGGAGAGGGAGGAGAGGGAGGAGAAGCAGGACGAGGAGGAGGTGGACGCCGGATTGGAAGCGTCTGCGGAGAGAGATGGTCGGCGGACGGCGCGCTGCACTTCCTGTCGGGGCCGCCTGCGCCACCGCCTTGCGCCGCACGAGTCAACGGCCGGGCGCCGAGGCCCGAGCGCCAGGAGAATTCCAGGCCCAGTGGCTTTCCGTGGGGCATGTCCCTCTGCAGGAGGAGAGTTCAAGAGCAGTCGAAGAGCAGTCTGGTGGCACAGTTTCATTCCCAGCCGTCCTGTGGTGTTGGGTCCTCGTTTTGAAGAGACACGTCGCCCCGCGTCTCCTCCCTCCTTCCTTCCTTCCTCCTCCTCCTCCTCCCCCTCCTCCCTCCTCCCCCTCCTTGCCTCTGCTCTCGGCACACCTCTCACACGTTTCGTAGCCCCATAGAGAGCTCCACCGAAGGCCCCAGTGGGGGGGGGGGGTCGCATGCGGTTCCCCCACCCAGGGCAGCGTCTCGTGTCCCCATAGGGAGCTCCGCCGATGGCCCTAGTGGGGGGGGTCGCATGCGGGTCCCCAGCCGCGGGCAGCGTTTCGTGGCTCCATAAGGAGCTCCGCCGATGGCCCCAGTGGGGGGGGGTCGCATGCGGTTCCCCCACCCAGGGCAGCGTTTCGTGTCCCCATAGGGAGCTCCGCCGACGGCCCCAGTGGGGGGTTCGCATGCGGGTCCCTCACCCAGGGCAGCGTTTCGCGGCCCCATAGGGAGCTCCGCCGGGTCGCATGCGGGTCCCCCACCCAGGGCTGCGCTTCGTGGCCCCATAGGGAGCTCCGCCGATGGCCCCAGTGGGGGGGGTCGCATGCGGTTCCCCCACCCAGGGCAGCGCTTCGTGGCCCCATAGGGAGCTCCGCCGATGGCCCCAGTGGGGGGTTCGCATGCGGTTCCCCCACCCAGGGCAGCGTTTCGCGGCCCCATAGGGAGCTCCGCCGATGGCCCCAGTGGGGGGGGTCGCATGCGGTTCCCCCACCCAGGGCAGCGCTTCGTGGCAACATGGGGAGCTCCGCCGATGGCCCCAGTGGGGGGGGTCGCATGCGGTTCCCCCACCCAGGGCTGCACTTCGTGTCCCCATGGGGAGCTCCGCCGATGGCCCCAGTGGGGGGGGTCGCATGCGGTTCCCCTACCCAGGGCAGCGTTTCGTGGCCCCATGGGGAGCCCCGCCGAAGGCCCCAGTGGGGGGGGTCGCATGCGGTTCCCCCACCCAGGGCAGCGCTTCGTGGCCCAACAGGGAGCTCCGCCGATGGCCCCAGTGCGGGTGGAGGGGGTCGCATGCGGGTCCCCCACCCAGGGCAGCGCTTCGTGTCCCCATAGGGAGCTCCGCCGAAGGCCGGGCCCCAGTGGCTGCTCTCGCATGCGGTTCCCCCGCCCAGGGCAGCGCTTCGTGGCCCCATAGGGAGCTCCACCGAAGGCCCCAGTGGGGGTGCCCGCATGCTCTCCCCCACCCAGGGCAGCGCTTCGTGGCTCCATGGGGAGCTCCACAGAAGGCCTCAGTGGGTGGTTCGCATGCGGTTCCCGCACCCAGGGCAGCGTTTCGTGGCCCTATGGGGAACCCCACCGAATGCGTTGCTCACAAAGGCGGTACTCACTTGGGTCCTTCGCCCGGCTAATGTTTTTGCGCGTGTGCGTTTAGTGTTGACCTTTTTATATGTCTTCCAAGATCCGCCTGTAGGAGGACATGCCCGAACTGAAATTAATTCTCAAGGACCTCACCCGCGGATGGGTGAACGCCCCGGGAGGCCTGGTCTAGCGTGTCCCGAGTGGAGGGAACCAACGATGGTCCGCGACAGGATTCTTGAGGCAGCCGCGGCACACCGTGTGGCAAGATGATGAAACCAGCACAGGACGAGCAAATACGGATGCGACCGTATCGACACATAGCATGCCCACGGTCACAGAACACACGGGTGGCCCTCTCCTCCTCAACGCCCGAAGGGTTTCCATGCCATGCGGGGAGGGGAAGGGAGGATTCCCGTCGCATCAAGGGCCAGGTCAGCGTCGATTACGGCATCAGCTTTCAAAGGCTTCGCGGCCTCACTCGGGCTTTCAAGCCACGCTTGGCCTGTAAAGGCCGAGACAGCCGTGGGCCGACAAAGCTTAAGTTGACGATTGAACAGGTGCGCCATAGTGTTGCACGTCCGAGCACCAACAACACATGATACGGAGCGCACTTTGTCAGGCCCGCCATCCAGAACCAAACTATGTCCATGGAGGGCCAGCTTGAGTGCGACATCGGGGTGGGAGCGGAAGGGGGCGGAGGTACATCGGTCCACCGACGCAGCTTGACCAACCTCGCCGACGCCCAGGACGTGTATTCCAGAGAACCTTCGTGAACCTGCATTCCTCCTTCGACGAACTTGGCTGTGCATTGCGCAATCATGACCCTATGCGAGCGCGAAAAGTTGGCCCGCGCGCCCCCCACGTCAGGCCACAGTGTCCTCACGTCTGTTCAGCGGTCCAGACGAGGGCTGGAGTAGGCGAAGTGGAGTTAGGTTCAGAGGGCACCTGAAGCATAGACCTCCGGATGCTGGCGTATTCATTCATTCTTCGGGCGAGTTCCTGGTCCCAGGATTGGCCCTCCTGGACGAAGGGCAGGCGGTCAGAAACAACAGCGCGCATCGAGGTTTTCTGTTTGAAGGCTTCTAGCATTGCGATGCGCTCTGCGCGGCCAACAGCTTGGACCTGACCAGCGAGAGATCCCAACACAGCACGCGCAGGCAACATATCTGAGTTGAGCTGAACGATGGCACAGCCAGCCCTTCTGACCTCGGGGACCGAAGGGTGCTGGGCGCTTCCGCCCCAGGAGACCACAGGACCCCACATCCCTCCACCGCCCCCCGCCTCTCAAACCTCACACGCCTCAGGTTGGGACGGACTCTGAACAGAGAGCTTCGGGAAACCATGGCGTAGGTGCTGACTGACGAACATGGGGCACGCTGGATTCTGAAGGCCTAAAGCAAGAAGGGCGTCTCTGTGAGCCTCATGCGCCTGAGAGAGAATCTCCAATTCATCCTCGACCTCACCCTGGTATGGCTGCTCAAGAGCATTACAATTGGCCCGAACCTCCCCGAACGACCCATCAGAATCCTAGCCAGCAGCACTGTGTGGGGCAACGTCCTACGGGGTAGGGCTAGCAGGTGCGGGGAAACGATCAGCCCAGAGCTCTCTAGGGCCCCAGGCTGGGCTGGTGTCGAATCACGAAGCCCATGGCGAAGAGCACGTTCCCAGATATGATGCGCAGGCTCCTGAACTGGTAGATGGTGCGCCAGCCTTTGCACTTGCCAACGTTTGACGCAGTCCACCACGAAGCCTTTTATATCAGCAGGTGCACCCTGTAGGAGGCCGAGTGTGTCTCCACGGTCGCTGAGCCAATGCATTGGGGAAGCGAACTCCGAACCTATGCTGTTGATCGGTAAGCAGTGCAGCAAGGAGCGGGGCCTCTGGTGGCGGTCCATGTAAGTCATCGTTTGCCGACCTGTGCCGCCAGAGCCTCACACGTCTGTCGCAACGCACTGCGACTGGCCCTGTCGACCCAGACGAAGCGCTGGTAGCGGCACAGAAGAGACGCAGTCGCGTCAGAGGTAGGATTGCAGCGTAGTTGCCACTGATTGCACGAGAAGGCGGACTTGTGAGCTCGCGGCGGCGAGCTGGCACCCAGCCCAGCAACAGCGCGAGCCTGCGTCAGCGCTTCGTCACTCACGCTCGAGGTTCAGCGCCACAACTGCATGCCGCGCTCCAGCCCGCCAGAAGACTGACGCCCTCCCGCCAGCAGCTTTCGCGAATAGCACCGTGCGATGCTGTCTCTGCTTCGTGTTCTTGACAGTTTCTGTCTCCTGCAGTCGCAGGGGTCGATGGCCTGGCGTCCAGTGCCCAAGCTTCCTCAACCAGGCACAGTCAGGGCATTCGCTCGTTATCGAACATTTGCGAGGGAACTTCGCGGCACACGCCATGCCATATTAATCCTCTTGGAACGATCTGTTCGCAGCGCCCAACGCCCCAATCCCTTGCGTGTCTGGGGGCAACAGACTGCGCAGAAACATCATCGAACAGGGAGCGAGAAAGAATCTTAGAACTTGCGGCGTCCAAAGCCCGGATAGCGGAGCGGTCCAACGCGACATCCGGCGCGCTCGAAATTTTGTGGGGGACGCTTGCTAGAACGCTTGCAAGCGTGCAAGCTCGAGAAACGAGCTTCGCTGAAGCCCGTGAAGCGTTGCGAAGGAGCTGCGCAAAGGCACGTGGCCATCTTATTGGGAACGAGTAGGCAATCGCTTCCGGGACACGCTGCGGATTTCAGCAGGTTGCCGCGAGGCCCCTTGCCCGGCAGCCCTGAGCGGAAGTGGGCTTGCCTTGTGTTGTCGCTTTCTAATCTGGAACCCTCCCAGCTCTCCAAAGCTCCAAGGAGCTGTCCGGGAATAAGCTGCCTGGGCCTCGCGACCGCTATCAGGGTCAGCACCTTCAACATACATGCCGCATGTGTGCACCCCGCCAATCTGCCCTGGTCCGTGCAGATGGCTGCTGGATAGTCAATCGTGGCCCTGTCGAGGTAGCATGTACATGCGCAACATCGTCCATAGCACGCGAGGCTAATATTCCATCTCCATGCCTCCTGTGAACAGCTGCGATGGCCCGGCGAGGTCGCAAGCCCTCATCAAGTCGAGATGCCAGTCGCTGAGAACATGCCCTGCAGCGCTGCCTTCTCCAATTCAATATTGTCAGAGAGTGCGCCATCAGATGAAGTGTACCTTGCGCGATTCCCCCACGCCTCGGGGTCTCTTGGGGGCCACTTGGGGACTTCAAAGGGCCCGTCAAGGAACGGGGCGCATCGTGGAGGACGGACGACTCAGCGCAGCAATGACCGAGGCCGTGGGACCTGGAAGCAATGGAGGAGTTTCAGGGCGCTGCCAAGCTGAAGCGGGTGGCGCGCACCTTCGGGGAGAAGAGAGGCGTCGGCGTTGACCGATGGCATCCTCCGCTCCTGGCGGGAGCGTCGGGCGACGCCCGTATCAAATTGTTGCAGGCGCTGCGCTTGGTGGAGAAGTGAGTGATTTGGCCAGAGCAAGTGGGCGCAGTACGGTTTCGAAGACGTTCACCTCAGACAAGGCGATAGGCCTGTTTCCGACCACGGCGAGAGCGCGGGGGATTACGCGCGGGCCGCAGGGAGAATCACAGTGCGCGGGACTGTACGTCGCATGGCAAAGCAGGGAAGGACGCGGGACGTGCCCCCGAGCCACGTGGGGGGGCGACCCCTCGGTTGCGGACCCCAGCGTGGAGGCGACGATCGCGGCAATCCTGAGCCCAGCCCATGCCTTCGAGAAGGTTGGATTGCACGTCCTGTGGTGGGCGGGTGAGAAGCTCATGTTCCATAGCCCAAGCCACGGAAGCCAACGAGGGTAAGCATGCCCCCCCGACGGTCCCCTTACCACGATGATTGCGCGTTTTCGCTCGTCCTTCCCCTCTTGCTCCTCCTCCTCCTTCTCAGTTTGCTCTTCTTTCTCTTCCCCTTTTTTCCTCTCCTTTACTTTCCCTCCTCCTCCTCTCCCCTTTTCCCTCCGTCCCATCCCGTTATCCCTTTCCCTCCCCCTCCTCCTCCCTCCCCTTCCATCCTATCCCGTTCAGATCCCAGCCAGTTTCCCAGGGCGTCGGGATTGTGCGCTTCAGGTCCTCCTTCTCCTCTGCCTAGTCCCCGTTCTCCTCGTCTGGCCCCCGTCCCCACCTTTCCCACCTCTCCATCTATATACTCCTTTCCTTCCCCCGCCTCCTCCTCCTCCCCTCCTCCCTCTGCTGCTCCTCCTCCCCCTCCCCCTCCCCCTCTCCCTCCTCCTCCTCCTCCTCCTCCTCCTCCTCCTCCTCCTCCTTTCCCTCCTGCTCCTCCTCCTCCTCCTCCTCCTCCTCCTCCTCCTCCTCGTCCTCCTCCTCTCCCCTTCGCCTCCTCTCGATGCTCTTTCGATGCTTTCGCCCCCCCCCCCCCCCCCGTGCCGTCTCGGAGGGCCCCTCCGAGGCTTTCAGTGGCTAACATGTTCTGCCTCTCGGGGCCACTGGGCCTCGGGACCGTCAACAGAACGATTCAGGATGCACAGGCGGTCCCGGGGAAGGTTGGCCCAGAGGTCGGTCGGCGGCGAAATCCGAATCCAACACTCGCCGATCAACGATTCAGGTACTTCGATGGCCCGTTTGGGTAGGGTCCGGAATGCGCCGGACACGTGGCGAAATCCGAGCCCCACACCCGCCTCCCGTCGGTTCAGGAGGATCGATGGTTGGTGGGTGCGGGCTAGACGTATATCCATGTGCACAGCAGCTCGTGGAGTTTCGGGCTCCCTTCCCAGAAACCCGAAGCTTCCTGGATATGGATGATGCACCCAGCGCGACCCCAGTTAGGGGAAAGCTTATTGCAAGGGCGCATCGCTTGGCGTTGCTTGGCATTGCTTGGCATTGATTTGCATGGGTTGGCATTGGCATTGCTTGGCTTGGGTTGGCATTGCGTGGCATTTCTTCGTGTTGATTGGCATTGCTTGGCATTTGCTTGGCATTGCTTTGCACGGGTTGACATGGGTTTGCAGTGCTTGGCACTGCTTTGCATTGCTTGGCATTGCTTGGCATGGGTTTGCATTGCGAGGCATTGCTTGGCATGGCTTGGCATTGCTTGGCATTGCATGGGGCAACCCAGGGTGGGAAACCCGAGGAACCCGGCCGAGCAAGGGGCAACGTAAGAATCGAAGGCACCGAGGGCGAGGAAACCAGGGAACCCGAAGAACCCGGGGAACCTGCGAGCAACCGGCAACGTAAGAATGCGAGGCACCAACCTCTAACCAAGTAAGAACCCTTGAGAACCCTTGAGGCAAGCCAAATTGGGGAAGAATCCGGCCCCGAGAGGCTAGTTTATCCATGTCCAGTGCGCCTCGGCCTTTTGGCGCCCCTTCCCAGACAGTCCACGACTCATTGGACGTGGATATCGGTCTTGCCCGTAGTTGGGGGTAGAGTCCGGATGTCGCCACCTATTCTGGGGCTCATTTCTAGAAGGAATCGGGGCGCTGGATGTTTGGGAAAGCGGCATGCGCCTAATTTCCTGGAGGTCCGCTCGCAGTTCTCGGAAGTCTTTAGCGGGCACCCCCAGCGGCGCCGGAGGCGCCCCTGGCGCGGGGCCCAGCGCCGATCCAAGAAATCCGCGCGGAGTTCCGAACAATCTTGTTTATGCCGTACGCCGTCTTTTGTTCCGCTAGTGTTGTTCCCACCTTCCCGGAAGGGGGGGGGGCGTTCCTGCGGGGGGGGGGGGCTGGAGGACCATTGGGACGGTGAGAGAAGGCATGAGGAGTGATGAGGAGGAGGAGGGGAGGAGAGGGAGGAGGATGAGGAGGAAGAGGAGGAGGAGGAGGAGGAGGAGGAGGAGGAGGAGGAGGAGGAGGAGGAGAGGAGGAGGATGGAGGAGGAAGAGGAGGAGGAGGAGGAGCTCGTGACGCAGGTGGTCAGCTCCGATTGGCCAGGCTGTCGAAGGGGTTCCTCCTTCCGGAGAGGCCAGCCTGGCCAGACGAGTCACGGGAGGCCGAAGGGTAGCTCTCGCGCCATCAAAAGTTGTTGTCCTTGTATGATGTGAGGATCCGCGGACGACTTGTGTGCGCCTTGCCGCGCTTGTGTCTCCCCAGGCGTCGCCGATCCTCGACCCAATAATGGTACGGGGCATGCTTTTTGTGCGTCCCTCGGAGCCGAAGCACTACGCACAGTGCCGCGTTTGCATGGGCGCCTTTCTCTTAAAGGGGGTAGCAGCAGCATGTGCAGCAGCAGTGGGGCGCTTCGCACCGTCGGCCCGTCCTCAGGTGGCACGAGCGCTGGCGCGCGCTGTCCCAGCTCGTCTTCGACTTCGCGCTGCTTGTCGACATCACGGAGTACCGTATCCTGAGCGTGTGGGACGAGTCTGCGGCATTCGACGAGAAGTTGGAGGGCAGGTCTTGCTGCTGCTGCTCCGTCAAAAGCCATCCTCCCCTACCCATCATCATTTCCATTATCATGTTCATAATCATCATCAGCATCATCAACAACAACATCATCAAGATCGTCTTCCCCCCGCCCATGTTGGCCCAAGCATTTGCTGAGCAGTAGGCACCTCCGCGCACCTGCGCCTACGACGTTTTTTTGTGAATGCGTTTGCTGCGATGGTTGTGCCAGTCAGTACATTGTTTCACCTGGTGCTCCTGGAACAGGGAACGAAGCTGGTCGCCAAGTCGGCTTCTCATCTTCGCTTGCTTGACCAGGCGATCACGGCTCGCTGCTACCTCGACGTCTACATCCCTGTGCAGCACCATGCTTTCAGCAGGGCGACATTTCAGTGGCTTGTATCGACAGCAGCCACTTGCCACATCGCTGCCCGGGGGCATCGCCGCAGCGATGATCGTTCTGAGGTCAAACTCATTGTGAAGTATTCTCGTGATGGTGGCGTTGCAGGTGCCATTGATGGTCATCATCCTGGTGGCGGCCCTGACGCTTCTGATCGAGGTGATGATGATGGGAGTGGACATGGTCCGCGCCATCGGCGTGATCGATGGCAGGGTGGGGGACCTTAGTTCGGCGCGGACGCCGCAAGAAACACTAGTTTCGATCTTGGTCCTGATTCCAAAAAGCAATGACGGCACGACATGGGCAGTGGAGATCACACGCAGCTTCGCGCAATTGCACTGTTTGTATTGCAATTGACTCCTCCTTTCCAGAGTTGGCTGAAGCATCAGGCAGCGCCAGGGGTCGTCGAAGGCGCCTCGGCTATTTATTGCCGTATCCGTTCTGCTGGTGTGGCTTCTGGGCTTGATGCCAGTCGTATCGTTGAAGAGTAGAGGTACTGCCCAAGGTTCGGTGGAGTCCAGTGCACGATCGATTTTCTCAGCTATCCGTTGGCACCCCTGTTGCCCACGGACGACATCTGTGTTTTTGGTCAATCCCCAGTCCAGCACATTTGTTTCGGAGTGGTCAAGCCGAGATGCCTTGCACCGGCTGCTCGACAAACAGTTTGGATGTGGATCCATTGATACCTTTGCATGTGCTGCTACATTGTGTTCTGGCTTGCCAGCCCAAGTTGGAATGACAATTGCTAGTCAAGAAGGGGGGTATCTCGACAATTGCTTCCAAAAGTTGCTAGTGGACAAGGGCAAACCATAGACATGTCGTACCAGGGCGTGGCTTTTGTCTGCAGTTTGAGAAACAAAGCGGTATTTCAAGAGAGTGGAGGTCTGGGTTAGATACGCCAAGTTGGGGACCTGTGGGCAGCACCGTGAGGTGCCCCGCCTCTCTATTGATGTGGCTGTTGTGGCGGCGAGTTCTCTTTCATTCGGCTTGAACTGTGTGTTCACGATGCAGTGTAATTTTGGGGTGTCGTGATCAGCTCAGTGCCGAGATGGAGGCCAAGCTTCCCTTCGCTCTTGGTCATTGTGCACCTGCTTTGTGTTCCTCCATTGTCCAGACGAGATTTTGTCGTGGGCAACGAAGCCAGGTACAAATGTGCGGCGAGGGGAAGTAGTAATCCTCATGTTTCCGCTCCCTCACGTTCGCCTTCCCAGTCCCTGGGGAAGCTGCCATGCCGCACGGCTCCCGAATCCGCGAATTCGCAAAACTTCGGCCTTCCTCTTCATTCGCCCTTACTCATCCTCTCTCTACCCTTTCTTTTTTGTTCGATTATTCTCCTTATTATTTTTCTCTGTATCCCAGCATGCCGTGTGGTTCGGTCCTCGCTTTGAACAGAGCGCGTCCCGTTCATCCTCTGATTCCTTGCACCCCGTCCTCCTCCTCCACCTCCTCCTCCTCCTTTCTCGTGCCGCTTCGCGTCTTCCGCCGCCCGCGTCGCTTTCTCTTGTTCTCCTGTGCTCCTTCTCCCCTCGATTTCCTGCCCTCTCTTTTCTCTTTTTCCTGTGCGCTCGATGCCCGGGGTGCCGCAAGGCGTGCAACCTACTGCGGCTGCCCTGTGCCCACGCAGGCTGGAAAAACGACCAAGTGTGGATTTGGTTGCGACGAGACGGCGACGGCGAAGACGGCGAGAAGGCGGACGTCTGGAGGCGACGAGGGCGGGAGGCGAGAAGGAGGAGGACGAGAGGGAGAACGAGGAGGAGGAGGAGGAGGAGGAGGAGGACGAGAGGCGATAAGGCGACGGCGCCGGCGACGACGTAGACTTCTTCGGCGATGACGGCGGCGACGTTAGTGACCACAGCTACGGGAACGACGACGACGGCGACGGCGCCGAGGGCGACGGCGACGACTGCGAAGGCTGCGACGACGACGAAGGCGACGCCGCCCGACGACGTTGGGAGGAGGATGGCGAGCAGGACCCGCATCTTGACGACTGCGTCGGCGACTGCGACCATCGCGACGACGACAACGGCGGCAACTACGGCGTCGACGATGGCAACGTTTGCGGCGACGGCGGCGACGGAGACGAATTTAACGATGGCGAACACCGGGGCTGTCATGGCCTCGACACCAGGGGCTCCCACATTCCAGAACAACGGACATGTCAAGTTCGAGGTTCTCAGGGAGGTCGGGGGTGCAGGGACGGCGGGGAGGGGGCATGACGCCCGCGCTCGACTGAGTGACCTGACGAGTATCTGAGCGCCCATTGTGAAGACAGGTTGTTTCTCGTACGCGGCATTCGCTTTTCATGCATATCGACTTTGGGAATCCGTTGGACGCCCCGGAATGGCTTGGAATTCCCAGCCAGACTCCCCCGAAAACGCCGCAGCCGGGTTCTTGCAAGAGCTATCGGAATGTGTTTCATCTCTGGAGCACGGATGACCGGCGGGGCGGCGCACACGACAGCTGCATCGGCGACAGCACCGTGAACCCCCTTGGGCTGCGCTCGGCAGCGGCAGGTTGATTTTGGCACGATGCTTGTTGAATTGGCGGCGAACGCCTTGACACGTTCTGCCGCGCCGCGACACATCCTGACCCCTCCGACGCTTGCACCATCCCAGAAGCACACACGCTCCCCTCCTTGATTCAGACCTGGGAGGAGTGGTGCTTTCCTGTCTTGTGCGTTTTTGGCCGATACCCGCTGGCCCGAATTCCAAGCTGGGTTTCGTGTCTGCCTGCGGGGGGATATGACGGAGCGCTAAAACGCTGGGCCGCGCGGATCCCGCGAGATCTCGACCCTCAAGAGTCTCACGAGATGTCGGTCCAACAAGCTTGATCCTCGATCCTTCTCCTCCTCCTCCTCCTCCGTTTCCTCCGTCTCCTCCTCCGCCTCCTCCCCAGGGAGTCTGGGGGGCAGGTCGTTGATGGACTACGTGGAGGGGCCGGACGACCGAGCGGTGTTGTCCGACGCCATCAGCGCGGCGTTGGTGGCCCACGCAGGACCTCGGGGGCAGTGCCACCAGCGAGAAGCATCATCCCGTGGCATCGTTGCAGAGGGCGAGTGCGGCCGAAACAAACAACGATTCCACGGATCATCATGCGATCCCACGGATTCGCCTCATGCAGGGCATACCCATCGCACCGCCGACCCCCGGCCGTGGCCAGAGCCTGGGGCGCGCGGCTGTGGATAGGCTCGCCGCCCAGCGGAGGGGCCAGGGCCGCTGCTGCGGGCAAGATTTGGAGTCTCGGGCTCCCTTTCCTAGAAACCCGAGTGTGCACATATATATATATATATATATATATATATACAAGACTGCAGTGGCGCTTCGCGCCATGCACCTTGGTCCTTGAAGTTTGGTATGCAGGCGGAGTAGCAGGAAGATCAAGCCGACACTTTAGCGATAACTCCTTGTTGCCTTTTCCGGCATCGCCGCTATGATAATGTTTGTTTCGTTCTCATTTCTCCATGCTTCTTTTTCCTCATGTTCGCCATACCCTGCGCATTCTCCCTATCCTCCTCAGCTTTTTTTTTGCGGAGGCTCCTCCTGGGAGAGCCTCTGGGGGCCTCACAAAAGTTGTTTCAGGCTTTCTTAAGGCCTTCTGGAGGCCTCCTGGGCGTATTCTGGGGGCCTCTGGGGGCTTCCTCGGGCCGCCCTGGCTCCAACCACGGTCTCCCTGAACGACCGGGTCACGATTTGGAATGCTTCGGAGGGCGTCTTGGGGCCATTTTGGGCCGCCATGTGGCTGTCTGAGGGCCATCTTGGACCTGTGGTGTGCCGTTTTGGAGCTCTCTTGGACTGCCTGGAAGCCCTTTCGGATGGTTGTGGGGCGATTTGGGAGCCTCCCAGGCGGCTTCGGACGCCCAGAAGACCGCCGTCTTGGAGCGTCGGGAAGCCGAAAAGAGAAGAACCCCAGAATTTACCAAAAACTAGCAGAAAATCAAAGATTTTTGCCTCTTGGGAGTGCTCTTGGAGGCCTCTTTGGGGCCGTCCTGGAGGCCTCTTGGGCCATCTTGAGGTCACGTCGGTCACTCTTGGAGCGTTCTTGCGCTGTCATGGGGGTCTCTGAGACGTCTCCGATGACCCCCCTGATCGCCCTAGCTGTGCTGGGAAGGCTTGGCAAAACGCCCTGCGAGGCCAGGGGGGCCGCTTCGAGGCCCGTCCGGAGGGTCCCAAAGCCCCAGATCCCGGAAGTCCGCTTTTTTTTGGGGGAGGGGGGGACGGGTTTTCCCCCCGCCCGGGCTTATAAAAATATAGGAAGGGGAATATATATATATATATATATATATATATATATATATACAAGACTGCAGTGGCGCTTCGCGCCATGCACCTTGGTCCTTGAAGTTTGGTTTGCAGGCGGCGGAATAGCAGGAAGATCAAGCCGACACTTTAGCGATAACTCCTTGTTGCCTTTTCCGGCATCGCCGCTATGATAATGATATTCGTTATCCTTCCTCCATGCTTCTTTTTCCTCATGTTCGCCATACCCTGCGCATTCTCCCTATCCTCCTCAGCTTTTTTTTGCGGAGGCTCCTCCTGGGAGAGCCTCTGGGGGCCTCACAAAAGTTGTTTCAGGCTTTCTTAAGGCCTTCTGGAGGCCTCCTGGGCGTATTCTGGGGGCCTCTGGGGGCTTCCTCGGGCCGCCCTGGCTCCAACCACGGTCTCCCTGAACGACCGGGTCACGATTTGGAATGCTTCGGAGGGCGTCTTGGGGCCATCTTGGGCCGCCATGGGGCTGTCTGAGGGCCATCTTGGACCTGTGGTGTGCCGTTTTGGGGCTCTCTTGGACTGCCTGGAAGCCCTTCCGGATGGTTGTGGGGCGATTTGGGAGCCTCCCAGGTGGCTTCGGACGCCCAGAAGACCGCCGTCTTGGAGCGTCGGGAAGCCGAAAAGAGGAGAACCCCAAAATTCACAAAAAAATGCAAGAAAATCCATAATTTTTGCCTCTTGGGAGTGCTCTTGGAGGCCTCTTTGGTGCCGTCCTGGAGGCCTCTTGGGCCATCTTGAGGTCACGTCGGTCACTCTTGGGGCGCTCTTGCGCTGTCATGGGGGTCTCTGAGGCGTCTCCGATGACCCCCTGATCGCCCTAGGTGTGCTGGGAAGGCTTGGCAAAACGCCCTGCGAGGCCAGGGGGGCCGCTTCGAGGCCCGTCTGGAGGGTCCCAAAGCCCCAGATCCCGGGAGTCCTGTTTTGGGGGGGGGGATGGGTTTTCCCCCC